AAAAAAAAATCCACTAACAATTCGAATATCGACAATGAATTCCTTCTGGAAACGCTCAAACGTCGGAAAACAGCAATCTGCGTCTCTCGAAGTATCCACAGAACCCAAAAAGAGAACCTGAGCACAAACAAAATAAAGAATAATTAATTAATTATGAAGCACAGATTTCGCGTTATAAATATATGAAAACAAAATATATACAAACCAACTGGAAGAAGAAGCAAACACCCGAACACACCAATGCTTCGATGACAATCAAAAGATAACTGAAAATAATTATGATATAAGTTAGAGATAGTTTAAATATTAATGAAATAAATATTTGCATACTTACCCTTATAATGACGAAACCTGCATACTGGAACAACCCAGACAAACCTATGAAAAAGAGAGACGATTATGTAAATAAATCAAATGAAAATCATACATTAATTATAAAATAAGAAGATAAACACTACTTACCATGGGCAACATAACCCCAGCTGTTAAACCACCGGTGACAGTTCCACCGCAGCGCATAAAGGCTATCTCACATTCAGAGGCGAACAACCGCCGCTCTACTGTTCAAGCAGCAACCACAACGCCACCGCATCTGTAACTAATTCATAATTCAATTATAAAATTCGCTATTATCGATACTACTAAAATGCAATTAAAACATAATTAAATGATAAAAATTTGTTGCGGCCTACGGGCGGCTGGACGATCGGTTATTTTCTCAAGAGGGTGACCCCCAAAACTGAATTGACCGCGACCAGTTACGTCTAAACGGAGGCCAAAGTTAAATGGGCTCGTATTGTGTGGGATAAAACACTGAAGTGTACCATGCTAGGTTACGCAGGAATTCTGATTAGTGAGAGAATCGCGCAGAGATAGAGAGGAAAACTTTCTATTGATTAATTTAGGACTATTTATTGGGGTACTAAAATACAGGATTGTTACAGCAATCCAAGATGAAACCGCTCAATTTTGACGGGGGAGATAGGTAACACTGAGGTGAAGGAAGGATTACAATTGATTCAAGACTTACAGTTGATGATAAACAGGGAAGTAGAAGGTGTGCACGATCACTCAGTCGCGCTGCGGTGGGCTCGGCGGTTTCCTCAAAAGTTGAAGGGGTAGAACTCGGTGATTTCTCGAAGATGAGACGATTCTCGGGGTGTGAAGAAGAGGTCGACGAACTCGGAAATTCGTTGCGATAATCTAGGTGTTCCGGTCGTTCACCTGGCAGGTGAGAAGATGTCGAACCGGAGGTTCGGGCGGTGCAATAAAAGATCCCAATTTTCCGTCGGACCAGGGGTGGCGGCTCGGCTTCTCGTGGACTTCAGATGTCGGATCACTTTTTAT